AAGAAATATCACGGATGTACAGTCCAAGAATTTTTCTTAATACCGAAACTATTAGAACGATTGATGTTGTATCATTCATGTTTCAAATTACAATTACCGTTGTACGAATCATCGGAGACACTGTTGGACTATATCGAGAAAAATGCTGTTACAACTATTTCAACGTCAACTGGATCCGGTAAGATTTTTTACGAACCAAAATATTTTCGTATAGTGATTTTCGTTTACAGGAAAGTCAACGTTGCTACCGGCCCTACTCGCTGCAGAAGGATATGACAGGGTTATTGTCACACAACCTCGACGTTTACCATGTCAACTAATTTCGAGGCGGGTGAATAAAACCATGCTCACAGATATTGGATCGGCAACGAATAGATTAGCCGGTTGGTGTGTTAGCAATGCTGGTAGTAATCAAAACGCTAAAGTTCTTTATTTAACCGATGGTTTATTAAAAGAACGTTTGCTTAAGGATGACAATTTTATCACAGCTCAAACCCAATTGAATAAATCTGTTGTTTTCTTCATCGACGAGGTTCACGAGCGTTCAGTTAATATCGATCTCTGCTTAGCATTATTGGCTCGATTGTTAACAACGAAACCAGAATTGAAGACAAAAATGAAAGTGATTATCTCATCGGCGACTTTGAACTCATCAGTACCGGATCTCTTTCGAAAGATTCCTCAGGCTGGTTTGGCCACATTCCAAATGCCACAAATGAGTACTTTGCATCACGTGGAGACGATCCTACGTCCGAACGAGAATGTTCTCGACATTGTGCAAGAACTATGTAAAAAGCGGAAACGACATGATCAGATCCTTTGCTTCGTGAGTTCCGTCGGTGAAGTAAATGAATGCGTTCGTTTGATAAATGAAATCAGTCGAGGAACAATTGTGGCACATCCACTCGTTCAATCTCAACGTCCAGACGTTCAGCAAGAATACATTGAATACGGAACAGTTTTCTTTTCGACGACGATCGCCGAAACTTCGTTAACATTTCCTTCGTTAAAATATGTGGTGGATACGGGAATGATCAACGCACCTATCTATGATGTGGATTCCAAACGGACTATTCTAAAAGAGATACGTGCTGCTGAATCGACGATCAAACAAAGACGTGGACGTTTAGGTCGAACACAACCGGGAGAATACTATGCTCTGTACAGTTTCAAAGCGGAAGATATGGCGTATCCGAATGCACAAATATGCCAGTCCGATCTGCTAAATTTAGAATTTTCCTTAAGAATATCTCCATTGAAGAAGGGATTGACTTACATGAAACAATTCTTGCCCGATCAGCCAACACAAAACGCAATCAATGCAGCAATTCGACAGTTACAAGATATGAGTCAGTATATAAAACTTTGCTATCTCGTGTAGTGCTTTGAAGTTTTCGTTTCTAGATATCCTCAGTAGTGGATCGGGAGATCAGTTCACTGATGAAGGTAGAGACCTGGCTAAGCTGCCTGATTTCGGTTCACTTGCCATGTCGAAAGCAGTATTAGCTGGACTTAACAAATACGCATGCGGCCGTGATCTGATCTGTCTTGCTTGCATGTTAGGTGTACTGAACACGACAGCTATGTTTAAAAGCGTTCCACTAAAGTTTAAAAGTACTGACGGTGATTTCATGACATTATTGAACATTATCAATCAAATTCTGCTTGTGAGAACCTCTGTAACATCAAAACAATTTGATCTTGCAGATGTTTGTGTTGCTGAAGGTCTTCGCGATATTCATCATGTTATCCGACAAGCTTTGCGACGATATACAACGGTAGAAAGATGCTTTAGTTCAAGCGGATATTTCCAAAACAAACCGCATGTTGTCTCGGGTGATTGGGAACGGATTGCGAAATCATTGTTAGTTGGTTATTCTGATAATGTTTTTGTTTCAAAAAAAGAATTGTATGGTAAACACTTACATTTTCAACGATATAATGGCACAGGTGACGAAGCGATTCTTGATCTGCAGTCCACATTAACTCGGCCTATCAGCTCAGCGCCTGTCGCACTTATTCTCGCGCGCGATATTCGTCATTCAACTGCTGTTCGTGCTGTAGCAATTCTTTCATTTGTTGGCGAAATCAAATCAGAATGGCTTCAGCATAATCTTGAGCGGCAATTTTCGTTGAATGATGAAGAAGAAAAGCATTTAAATACGGGTAGTCGTTACGAAGCAGCAGTATCGAAATTTTCCAAAATCAAGATGAGAATGAACTCTGGGACGATTCGACTGAATGGTCCGTCAGGTTCGGTTCTCAATGCTGAATTACACCTTCGACAGCAGATGGTTTCGGAAATGACATTCACATTACAAGAATTAGGAACATCCAGTGCTCATGCAAATTTCCAGCGAAATCTTGGAATTATTATGAAGTCGGTGCGCATATTTAATCCATTGAAATGGCGTTGGCAAGCGCAAAAACAAGTTGAAGTCACTATTAACAGTAACACAGCCGCGAAAACATGTGAGATCACTGTTAAAGGAAGAAGTTCACAAAATCGGAAAGTAAGGGATGAATTTTCTGCTTTTATCGGTTGGTTACAAATCTGTGCTGTCATTCGACATCCGAATTCAGGTAGAATTTGTTCTATTTCTTCTGAATGATCGATTTCGTGTTATTAGGTGTTCCTCCACGAGTACTTCGTCCTCAGATGCGTAAGAATTGCGAAGACATCGAAAAGAGAATTGCTCGTGTTACTGATAGTAAACGAACACCAATAGATCTATACAATGGTACAAAAGGTAAAAACGCAACACGAGTAACACGAATGGAAGTTGTGGCATGGATCGCTATCTGCAAATTTGACTGCAGATTGGAAGGAGGTTTCGTTCGAGACTGGATTGTAGGTGGTTACACTGCACTTCCCAAAGCTGTATATGCTAGTCCAAAAGAATGGATTACGTACAGGAACAACGTTCCCGAGTTGGACAAAGATATCGTTCCTTGTGACTTAGATTGTCATCTACCATCGCATGCTTATTTCGATATTGATAAGTTTCAAGATGAATTACATAAGTACGACATCTCGTGTACGGTTTGCTACGATAATTGGCGATATATATTGGTACTTGATGAGAATAAATCTACCGGTCCATTTACAATGGATTTGATTGAGCCGCATGTGGCATTGACACAAGATCGAATTGATTTCGACGTGAGTAATCTATCGTTGGAAAAAGACTACACCCACNCGCTTTGAAACTGTACAAAGCATAGTATTTTCGTAGAGTGATTTTCGTTTACAGGAAAGTCTACGTTGCTACCGGCCCTACTCGCTGCTGAAGGATATGACAGGGTTATTGTCACACAACCTCGGCGTTTACCGTGCCAATTAATTTCGAGGCGGGTGAATAAAACCATGCTCGCAGATATTGGATCGGCAACGAATAGATTAGCCGGTTGGTGTGTTAGCAATGCTGGTAGTAATCAAAACGCTAAAGTTCTTTATTTAACCGATGGTTTATTGAAAGAACGTTTGCTTAAGGATGACAATTTTATCACAGCTCAGACCCAATTGAATAAATCTGTTGTTTTCTTCATCGACGAAGTTCACGAGCGTTCAGTTAATATCGATCTCTGCTTAGCATTATTGGCTCGATTGTTAACAACGAAACCAGAATTAAAGACAAAAATGAAAGTGATCATCTCATCGGCGACTTTGAATTCATCAGTACCGAATCTCTTTCGAAAGATTCCTCAGGCTGGTTTGGCCACATTCCAAATGCCACAAATGGGTACTTTACATCACGTGGAAACGAAGCTACGTCCGAACGAGAATGTTCTCGACATTGTGCAAGAACTATGTAAAAAGCGGAAACGACATGACCAGATCCTTTGCTTCGTGAGTTCCGTCGGTGAAGTGAATGAATGTGTTCGTTTGATAAATGAAATCAGTCGAGGAACAATTGTGGCACATCCACTCGTTCAATCTCAACGTCCAGACGTTCAGCAAGAATACATTGAACACGGAACAGTTTTCTTTTCGACGACGATCGCCGAAACTTCGTTAACATTTCCTTCGTTAAAATATGTGGTGGATACGGGAATGATCAACGCACCTATCTATGACGTGGATTCCAAACGGACTATTCTGAAAGAGATACGTGCTGCTGAATCGACGATCAAACAAAGACGTGGACGTTTGGGCCGGACACAACCGGGAGAATACTATGCTTTGTACAGTTTCAAAGCGGAAGATATGGCGTATCCGAATGCACAAATATGCCAGTCCGATCTGCTGAATTTAGAATTTTCCTTAAGAATATCTCCATTGAAGAAAGGATTGACTTACATGAAACAATTCTTGCCCGATCAGCCAACACTGGGCGCAATTAATGCAGCAATTCAACAGTTACAAGATATGAGTCAGTATCTAAAACTTTACTATCTCGTGTAATATTTCGAAGTTTTCGTTTTTAGATATCCTCAGTAGTGGATCGGGAGATCAGTTCACTGATGAAGGTAAAGACCTGGCTAAGCTGCCTGATTTCGGTTCACTTGCCATGTCGAAAGCAGTATTAGCTGGACTTATCAAATACGCATGCGGCCGTGATCTGATCTGTCTTGCTTGCATGTTAGGTGTACTAAATACGACAGCTATATTTAAAAGCGTTCCACTAAAGTTTAAAAGCGCTGACGGTGATTTCATGACATTGTTGAATATTATCAATCAAATTCTGCTTGTGAGAACCTCCGTAACATCAAAGCAATTTGATCTTGCAGCTGTTTGTAATGCTGAAGGTCTTCACGACATCCATCATGTTATCCGACAAGCGTTGCGACGATATACAACGGTAGAAAGATGCTTTAGTTCAACCGGATATTTCCAAAATAAACCGCATGTTGTCTCAGGTGATTGGGAACGGATTGCGAAATCATTGTTAGTTGGTTATTCTGATAATGTTTTTGTTTCAAAAAAAGAATTATATGGTAAACACTTACATTTTCAACGATATAATGGCACAGGTGACGAAGCGATTCTTGATCTGCAGTCCACATTAACTCGACCAATCAGCTCAGCGCCTGTCGCACTTATTCTCGCGCGCGATATTCGTCATTCAACTGCTGTTCGTGCTGTAGCAATTCTTTCATTTGTTGGCGAAATCAAATCAGAATGGCTTCAGCATAATCTTGAGCGGCAATTTTCGTTGAATGATCAAGAAGAAAAGCATTTAAATACGGGCAGTCGTTACGAAGCAGCAGTATCAAAATTTTCGAAAATCAAGATGAGAATGAACTCTGGGATGATTCGACTGAATGGTCCGTCAGGTTCGGTTCTCAATGCTGAATTACACCTTCGACAGCAGATGGTTTCGGAATTGACATTCACATTACAAGAATTAGGATCATCCAGTGCTCATGAAAATTTCCAGCGAAATCTTGGAATTGTTATGAAGTCGGTGCGCATCTTTAATCCATTGAAGTGGCGTTGGCAAGCGCGAAAACAAGTTGAAGTCACTATTAACAGTAACACAGCCACGAAAACATGTGAGATCACCGTAAAAGGAAGAAGTTCACAAAACCAGAAAGTAAGGGATGAATTTTCTGCTTTTATTAGTTGGTTACAAATCTGTGCTGTCATTCGACATCCAAATTCAGGTAGAATTTGTTATATTTCTTCTGAATGATCGATTTTGTATTATTAGGTGTTCCTCCACGAGTACTTCGTCCTCAGATGCGTAAGAATTGCGAAGACATCGAAAAGAGAATTGCTCGTGTTACTGATAGTAAACGAACACCAATAGAGCTATACAATGGTACAAAAGGTAAAAATGCAACACGAGTAACACGAATGGAAGTTGTGGCGTGGATCGCTATCTGCAAATTTGACTGCAGATTGGAAGGTGGTTTCGTTCGAGACTGGATTGTAGGTGGTTACACTGCACCTCCCAAAGCTGTATATGCTAGTCCAAAAGAATGGATTACGTACAGGAACAACGTTCCCGAGTTGGACAAAGACATCGTCCCTTGTGACTTAGATTGTCATCTACCGTCGCATGCTTATTTCGATATTGATAAGTTTCAAGATGAATTACATAAGTACGACATCTCGTGTACGGTTTGCTACGATAATTGGCGATATATATTGGTACTTGATGAGAATAAATC